CCTTGTTATTTTAAGTCATGAAAATTTCATTATTTGAACCACGTCAAACTATCTCTCTTAAAACGGGTCTCATCTTCCTGAAAAATCATCTCTTAAGTAATCCTAAGCCACAGAACAACAATTCGTGTTCAAAAAATGCCTCCACAATTTTCTGATTTTTTTTTTTTAATTTTTGTGTTATCGCCTTTTTTGGAAAACCACTTCGTTCGAGATATTCCTCTCTCTATACTAAACGGTTCTAGAATCCAACTTGAAAATTACCAACAAAGACCAAAAAGTTTCAAGGAATCAAACGACATAAACCATGGGATTGAATCTTAACCAGTTTTGGAGTTATATCCCGTTAAATTTGAAAACTCCGTCTTTAAATCGAAGAAGAAAAAGTGAAATCGATCGAAATCGGAGGAAAATTCAACAACTAAGGATAAAAATGACTTCAGTTGCAGGAAATTAGTCTGTAAATCGTATTTTCAAGCAAATTGGATAAATTTAATTTTTGTACCTTGTTATCTTAAGTCATGAAAATTTCATTATTTGAACTACGTCAAACTATCTCTCTTAAAAGGGGTCTCATCTTTCTGAAAAATCATCTTTTAAGTAATCCTAAGCCACATAACAGCAATTCGTTTTCAAAAAATGCCTCCACAATGTTCTGATTTTTTTTTTATTTTTGAGTTATCGACTTTTTTGGAAAACGACTTCGGTTGATATATTCTTCTCTCAACACTAAACGAATTTAGAATCCAACCTGAAAATTACCTACTAACACCAAAATGTTTCAAGGAATCAAACGGTGTAAACCGCAGGACTGAATCTTAACCCATTTTGGAGTTATGTCCCGTTAAATTTGAAAAATCCGTCTTGTAATTTAAGAAAAATCTATATTGCTCGAAATCCGAGGAATATTCAACAACTAAGAATAAAAATGGCTTCAGCCGCACAAAATTAGCCTGGAAAGTCTATTTCAGGCGAATCGCATAAATTTCATTTTTATATCTTGTTTTGAAAACATATCTCAAGCAATAAAATTGTCCGTATTTGAATCATCTAAAACTATCTCAGCTAAATGCACCTTCATCTTTCTGAAAACTTGTCACTTTGGTAATTCTAACCCCAGTAACGAGAATCCGGGCTCAAAAAATGCCTCCACCACCTCCTAAATTTTTTCTTAACTGAGTCTTCACCCGTTTTGGAGTTATTTTCCGTTGAATTTGAAATGTGCTTTGAGATTTCGAAGAAAAAATAATATCGCTCGAAATCGGACAAATATTCACCAAGTGAAGCGAAAAATGGCTTCAGCCGCACAGAATTAGTTTGGAAACGATATTTCAAGTATCGGATCAATTTTATTTTTGTCCTTTCTTTGACATGGTTCTCAGTCGTGAAAATTCAGCATTTCGACCATATCTAAGTATCTCGCTTCAATGGGCCATCATCTCAATGGGTCTCTTTGGTAATTCGACCCCCCGTAACAAGAATCCGCGCCCAAAAATTGTTTCCGCAGGCCACTGAATTTTTTATTAATAGGTCGACTCTTGAAAATGACACCGTCCGATATATCCCCCACTCAACACTAAACGGATCGAAAATCTGACTTGAAAGCGAACTCATAGAATTAGAAGACATCATAGAACGGAAGCGGAATGTGGTAGGTACCCGATTCCTCCAGGAACCCTTGTAGCCGCCATTGATCCACCACTGACACACTACTCGAGTGGTTCTTAATAACAACAATTCGTTATTTTCAGCACCTCGGCGAACTCACGCCCTTGCTTCGATTGCTCGTTAGTCTTGAGTGCCTTTAGTCAATCCCGCTCTAATTACAGGTGCAAGCACGCCTTGTTTGTCTTGGCTCTCAGTTACCTGCGACAAAAAGGTCGGCGCGAGGCAATTCCGAGTGCATACATCACGTAATAAAGATATCCTGTTTAGGGGGATGTATTCGCTTCATATACATTTCCGGAGACGTCCCCCGGGGGCAGAATCCCCATTCAGTGATTCCCGAAACAAATGGAAGCCATGGAGGGCGGCGAATCGAGATTTCGCAGATATGATTACATAAAGACGCACTAAATCAAGCGTCTCAACTGAAAACTGCGCATTATAAGTCAAACGTTGCGTTGTCACTGCATCCAATTACAGCCTCGTGCAAATTTATACAAAGCGTTTTTTGGAGGCGATTGTTGCGAGTGAAATATCCGCCTCTGCTCACATATCTTTGTGGTACGTACACATACGTAGTTATCTTCGGAATTTATGCGGGCGCATCCGGAGTATTCCCAAGACGCACCGTGACGGGATAATTTTTTCTTTTATGTAAGGACAATTTTCCTGGCGGTCCGTTCCGGCTTGTTTATTTTAAAAATTTCAGAGAGGAAATATCGCGCTTTCGAGATGATGGAAATTTAATTTCGCCCAAGTTAGCGGTTGAAGATAAGCAAATCGATCGTTTGCCGAAAAAGTGGCAGAAGGGTTGGCGCATCTGGTCGGCGGCGAAAGTGACGCGGAATATGCAGAATTGAACGGAATCGGAAAAAGTTCGGTATCGGGAAGATGAGGGTGTCCGGGTGCACTCAAACGCGGCAACGCGGCCTCCAGGGGTCTGGATTAAATTAAATTATTAGATGTTCTGTTGATTATTTTTACGCGCTCGACACATTAACCCGTCGCCAAAAACATAATCTATTATCCGTCTGCCTAGCGCGTTAAATAGTGTTGAAAATTTGCTGAAAAATAAATGAGGCGCGATGGCTGAATTTTGCCTTTTTATGACAGCCGTAAAAGCGAACTGTTGAAAAACCCGTAAAAAATAAATAAAAGACACAATATAATTTCGTAGACACCACGTATTAGATAAAAAATGGAGTGTAAAAGTGTGCTCATGCAAATGTTGTCGATAAATCCCGGCACAATCCGCGATTACCCAAAGTAATAATTGTCGATTTCGCTATAAAAGTAAATTTTACAACTCAATCGGTGCGAATCTAGGGCAGCAATTTCCGAACAACACTCCGGTAAGTTACAGACTTTCATTACACAAACCTCCCAGTGAAGAAATTGCAAAAATACATTTTCCTCGTTTTTCCGAGTCTGCACGTCAAATTATTTCAATTAGAATCCGACGCTGAAAGACCCTCGTCCTTTGATATTACGAACTCATTATTTTTGTGATGGTTTTAATTAATACATCGGATCGTAATTTGTTGTTTCATAAATCCTGATTAACGGACTTAATGAAGATAAGTTTCGAGCGGCGATATAAGAACTGCATGGCAAATATAAATATTCCGGGAATCCGCAGCTAGACGTCGTAATCCCGGAAAATATCCTGCAAGGATGTGATTAAATATTAGCTGAAGGAGCGCCACTTTTATATTATGAAACTTTTTGCGTATTCCGAACATTTATCACGGACTTGCTTTATTCATAACGGTAAAGTTTTTCCTTTTGCGGGAGTTAATAGTAACTGACGGCTTCGTTACTGGTTAAATTAAAACAAAAAAATTAATGACTTTGTTGGAAAGTTGAAATTTCGCTGGACCACGAAAAAAATTTGTCAAATGTTTGATCCAGAAGCTTGACCTGTCATTACTTCCTGTCAAACCTCTTCGCCTCAGAATCAAAATCAGGTTTTCCTAATTAACCAGCGAGTGTTTTACTCGACATCAAAACGAGTAAACAATAGGCAACTTTATCCTCATTTAGGAAAGTATAATGGATTAAGAGCGAGTTAATTAGGGTTTCATGTTTGAACAGTTATTATAAAGCGGTTAACCCTTTTTATGTGGAAGTTCCAGCAGTACACGATTTTCTCGTGAAGGGGGAACGTTGTGCCGAAAAATCTTTCAACTAAGTCGTTCGACGCGAGCTTTAATAGATACGTACGTTAATTAGGGGAAGCTGCGATCCCTTAATTCGTTCCTTAATGATCATTGCCGGGATCATAAATTATCGGTCGGTTTTCGGCCATTAAGTAATTAAAAACATCGAAGCGTCTGGAAAGTTGGCCGAAAAATCAGTTATCGATGTGAATCGCCTTCCATTTGTAATACCGTAAATAATGTTTACTCTAAAGGCATGTCGAAAATAAATGGGATTGCTACCGAGCCAGAAACGAATTTATAAATGCGGATAATGTAAAGCCAGAAAACAAAAATGAATTTTTTAATGAAAACAGATCAGTTCGTTAATGCGAATTCGCATAAAAATGAGCTTTCTCTAACAAAAAGAGAAGCAGGTTTAAGTTAACAAGGTTGTTTGTTCTTGAACACAATTCCAAGTTTTACGAACCGACATTTTTGAGCTGCGGTCGGACGCGAATATGAAAATGATCAAAAAGGTAATTAACACATCGGGTCGATAAATAATATATTTCGACGCTGTTTTTCACGACGCTTTGTTGCAATTATTCTGATTTTTGATGAGCGTAGTGAAGAGCACTGGCTATAAGAAGCGGCAAAACATTTGCTTGTGTAGTTGGGGCTTGGAACGCGGTATGCGGCACCCTCTAGACTAGAGCGACCCTCTAGCAACAATAAAAAATTGTAAAGTCGTTAAGGGATTTCCGTCGGTGAAATTTTCCGAAGCCATATTTTCCGGTCCTTTGTGACCCCGCGCGCACATCTTGAACGACCCTACTGATAAAAATTCCACGAAAATATTTTCCTCGAAAAACTTCTATCACTCCCATTGACCACATTGCTCCCGCAAGAGCAACTAAAAATGACAAACCGCACCAGAATCACTTAACAATGATCATCACAGCGCACCCTTTAAAACGCTAAACGCTTTACCACTCGACTTTTTCCGCCAAGAAAATGAAAACATAATCACCCCTAAAAACCAGAACTTCACCTCCCCATTTGCGTAAAATATCGTTCCAACAAGTCATTAATACGATCTCCGACGAATTAAATTTCGCCGCTTTTTCCAAATCCACCCGGAAACTTAAAGGTAATTAACCCGAGTTTTCCATTTTCGTGCAATTTATTCATATTTACCGATTTTTATGTCATTTCCACGTTCGACGGCAGGAACCAACACAGCACTCAGTCTCGAGTTCACATCTTGCTCCGGTTGTGGAGAACGAGATCGCGAGCGCTCGTGCACGCCAACTCCGGGAAATCCGGGATACGTCGCAGCATCCGCGCGAGGCTACTGACTCCGGTTCGGCTCCAGTGAAAGCTCAAGCTGAGCCTTTTTGGAGCTCGCGCCTGCGTCCATCTTGGATGCTTTGACCTGTTTAGTTTGACACCTACGCGGGTGCAGGGGGGCAGATTTGGAAAAAGAGGGCTCAGGGCGACTATGAAATAAATAGAGAATGCTGTGGGGGTTTCCGATATTATTGGGTAGTGGGCTGGTGGAATTAACATTTGCTGGAAAATGACGCTGGCTCGTAAAATATTTATGGAGTTTTGGAAACTGCGAAAAACAACAATGAGAGGATAAAGAGATGACGGGATTATGTCCGTAACAATATGGCCACCGGCTTTTAATCTATCTCATTTGTGCTTTTTTAATTCCTTTGTTTGTTCTATTAATTAGTCTTTTGCAGGTAAGCTCCTTGGTCTTTTTATTGTTGGAACGGGGAAATGTACGACGGGAGCTTGGGACGAAGTGGAACTCTGAAATGGAAACCAACTTGGAAAAATAATAGCCGGTAGTCAGTCTTGTCAATTGATGGCGAAATTATTTGTAAAGTTCAAATTTTTCTAAGAAAAAAAAATAGATCAGGTTAATCCAGGTCAAATTAGGTCCGATCAGATCAAATCAAATAAGCTCAAGTCAGTTTATGTCAGGTCAGTTCAGTGCAGGTCAAATCATGTTGAGTGATGTCTGTTCAGTTCAAGATATGTCAAAACAGCTCGATCGAGGTCAAGTCTCGAGCAAGTTAATCCAAATAAGTTGAGGTCAGATCATGTCAAGTCAAAAGTCAGCTCTGGTAAAATCAGACTAAATCAGGCCGCATCAGATTAAATCAAATAAATTCCAGTCAATTTACGTTAGGTCACTTCAGTTCAGGTCATTCTAAAACAGGTCGCCCAAGGTCAATTAGATCAATTCAGGCGAAACCATGTCAAATCAGGCAAATCAGGTCAAATCAGAAAGTCCAATAAGTTCAAGTCAATTTATGTCAGGTAAGAGCGGATTAAATCAGATCAGATCGGATCAGTACAGTCAAGGATATGTTAAAACAGGTCGACGCAGCTCACGTCAGGTCACGTAAGATCAAATAACTTCAGGTCAGATTATGTCAAGTCATATCAGATCAAATCAGTTGAGTTCAAGCCATCTCAGGCCACGTTAGCTCTGATCAGGTCAAATCAGGTCAACTTAAAGTAGATTAAATCAATTCATTTGAGGTTAGGGTAGAACAGGTTTAGGTAATTTCAGAACAATTAGGTCAGGTCAGCTCAAGTCAAATCAAAAGAAAGCAGCTCATAACAAGTCGAATCAAGTCAAATCAGATTAAGTCACATAAGTTCAGATCAATTTATAAGATCACATAAGTTCAGCTGAGATTCTATCAGGTCATCTCAGGTCAAGTCAGTTCTGTTCAGGTCAAATGAAGTCAATTCAAATCAGGTCTACTCAAGGTTGATTAAATCAAAATTAGATCAATTCATTTGTGGTCAGGTCAGATCAAGCCCGGTGAGCTCATTCCAAGTCAGTCAATCATTCAGTCAGTCAGGCAGTCAGGCAGTGACTTGATGATTCGCAAAGTATATCACGAAACCACTAAAGTTCCTAAGTCACTAGGTCACCAAGGCAGTAAGCTTGTAAGTCACTAAGTCAGTATGTCAATCAGGTACTAAATCAGTAAGTTATTAAGTCTCTAAGTAGCTAAGTCATTGGTCAGGTTTGCTAAGTCAGTCAATCAGTCAGTGCGTCGTTAAGCCACTTAGTCACTAAATAATTAAGTTAGTCTATCAGTCACTAACCCACTAAGTCATTAAAGGGGAAAGTCTGTAAAACTTGTTAAATTTAAAGTGTGCTATATTGTAAATTTCCATAATAACAAGCAAAATTCATAAATCTGTCAATCCGTCACTACGTAGCTAAGTCACATAGTCAGTCAGTCAGTCAGTCAATCGGACAGTCAGTGAGTCAATCACTAGGTCACTTAATCACTCTGTCTGTCAGTAATTCCGTGAATCAGTTACTACGCCACCAAACCGCTAAGTCACTAAGTCAGTCAATCAGTCAATACGTCGCTAAGTCACTAAATCATTAATTGTTTCAGTCAGTCTGTCAGACATTAAGTCAGTTAGTCCATTTTTCAGTATTTTGGTTTCATAACTGTTCGTTTTTTCAACTTTAATTTTTTAGCTTTTCAATTTTTCTACATAGGAGTACAAATCTTTCAATTTTTCGGTTTTACAATTTTATTTTGATATTACAATTTTTTGTTCTTTCCTTTTCTTCAGTTTTATAATTTTTTGAGATCAAAATGTTTCGTTTTTCACTTTCGTTATTTTTCAGTTTTTTGATTTCCAATTTTTAGATTTTTCAATGTTTTCATTTTATATTTTTTCATTTTGTCGCTTTGGATTTCTCAATTTTACAGTTTTGCAATTTTTCCATTATTTTGATTCAAAAAGTCGAAAAACAAAAAAAAATGAAAAATGGGCAAAATAACAAATCGGAAAAAATTAGAATATCGCAAAATTACAAATCGAAGAACTGAAGAAAGAAAAAATTGAATCATTAGGTCATGCCAGATCGGTCGGTTCTGATCAGGTCAAATCAAGTCATTTCAGATCAAGTCAGACCAGATCAGCCTAGGTCAAATCAGGTAAAATCAGGTCAGATCAGATCAACTCAAATAAGTTCACGTCAATTTATGTCAGGTCGAATCAGTTCAAGTCAGATTACATCAGGTCATGTCAAATCAGAGCTGTTGAGTCCAAGTTATGTGAAGTCAGGTAAGTTCTAATCAGGTCAAATCAAGTCATAAATCATTTCAACTCATAGTACTTAGATTAAATCCATTCATTTGTAGTCAGGTCAGATCAGGTCCGGTGAGCTTATTCCAAGTCAGTCAGTGAGTTAGTCAGTCAGTGACTTGATGATTCACAAAGTAAATCACGAAACCCCGAAAGTCGTTAGGTCACTAGGTCACCAAGGCAGTAAGCTTGCAAATCACTAAGTCAGTATGTCGATCAGGTATCAAGTCACTAAATCACTAAGTTACTAAGTCAGTTGCCACTAAGTAACTAAATCATTGATGCAGCCAGCTAAGTCAGTCAATCCGTTACTACGTCGTTAAGCCACATAGTCACTAAGTAATTAAGTTAGTTGATCAGTCACTACGTCAGTAACCCACTATGTCACATAATCAGTTAGTCAGTCGGTCGGTCAGTCAGTGAGTCAATCACTAAGTCACTTAATCAGTCTGTCTGTCACTAATTCAGTACATCAGTCACTACGTCACCAAGCCGCTGAGTCACTTAGTCAGTCAATCAGTAATTAAGTCAGTCAGTAAATTTTCAGTTGTCCGGTTTTATAATTGTTCGTTTTTTCAACTTTAATCTTTCAGCTTCTCAATTTCCCTGCTTCCAAATTTTTCGATTTTTCATTTTACCAATTCTTCAGATTTTCGTTTTTCATTTTCTTTATTTTTCAATTTTTCGTTTCTCCAATTTTTCAAATTTTTAGTTTCCAATTTTCTCTCGCTTTGGATTTTTCAGTTTTACAATTTTGCAATTTTTCCATTTTTTTAATTCGAAAGTTGATAAAACCGAAAAAATGAAAAATGGAAAAAATGAGAAATCGGAAAAAACAGAATATCGAAAAACTGCAAATCCAAGAACTGAAGAAAGGAAGAATTGAAACATTAGATCATGCCAGATCGGGTCAGTTATGATCAGGTCAAATCAAGTCATTTCAGTTTAAGTCAGATCAGGTCAGCCTATGTCAAATCAGAGATAATCCAGTCAGATCAGATTAAATCAAATCAGTTCAGGTCAATTTATGTCACAGGTCGAGCGAGTTCAGGTCGGATTACATCAGGTCACGTCAAATAAGAACTGTTGAGTACAGGTTATGTTAAGTCAGGTAAGTTCTAATCAGGTCAAATCAAGTCATAAATCATTTCAACTCAGAGTAGATTAAATCAATTCATTTGTAGTCAGGTCAGATCAGGTCTGGTGAGTTCATTCTAAGTCACTCAGTCAGTCAGTGTCTTGATGATTCACAAAGTAAATCACGAAACCCCGAAAGTCCATACATCACTAGGTCATTAGGTCGCCAAGGCAGTAAGCTTGCAAGCCACAAAGTCAGTATGTCAATCAGGTACCAAGTCAGTAAATCAGTAAGTTACTCAATCATTAGTCAGATCAGCTAAGTCACTCAATCAGTCACTACATCATTAACCCTCTAAGTCACTAAGTCACATAATCAGTCAGCCAGTTAGTCCGTCAGTGAGAGGGCCAGTCAGTCAGTGAGTCAATCACTAAGTCACTTAATCACTCTGTCTGTCACTAATTCAGTAAATCAGTTACTACCTCACCAAGCCGCTAAGTCATTAAGTCGGTCAGTCAGTTCATTTTTCCGTGTTTCGGTTTCATAATTATTGGTTTTTTCAACTTTTATTTTTCAGCTTTTCAATTTCTCTGGTTCCAAATTTTTCAATTTTTTATTTTTTCGATTTTTTAATTTCCCAATTTTTAATTTCTAGATTCTTTAATTTTTCGTTTCTCCAATTTTTCAAGTTTTTGATTTCCAATTTTTAGATTTTTCAATGTTTTCATTTTATACCTTTTCGTTTTGTCGCTTTGGATTTTTCGATTTTACAGTTTTTCAATTTTTCCATTTTTTTGATTCGAAAATTTGAAAAACCGAAAAAGTGAAAAATGGAAAAAATAAGAAATCGGAAAAAATAGAATATCGAAAAACTGCAAATCGAAGAACTGAAGAAAGGAAGAATTGAAACATTAGGTCATGCCAGATCGGGTCAGTTCTGATCAGATCAAATCAAGTCATTTGAGTTCAAATTAGATCAGGTCAGCCTAGATCAAATCAGGCAAAATCAGGTCAGATCAAGTTAAATAAGTTCATGTCAATTTCTATCAGATTAAATTGAATTAAACAAGATCAAATCGGTTCAGTCCAGGATATGTCAAAACAGGTCGGC